TTCTATATAATTAAATGCATTCAAAGTTTTTTAATTTTCAATATAGGAAAACAATAAAACAATCTAAAGAAAAGCTAGTTAAAATAAAAGATAAACAAAAATAATAAATATTTTTGGGAATAATAAAATTAAATGTTAAATATAAAGAGTTTATTGGAGTACTTCAAAATTTTAACTCTCTGAATTTATAGATACTCTCCAAATGATAAAATGTGCTCTCTAAAAATAGAAAGTCTATTGGAAATGTTCTAAGTTCGTTGAAATGTGTCGTTGAAAATGAAGTTTGATTATTTATATGAAAAAAAATCATATTATAGCATCAATATATGCGTAAATTACATGACATTAAATAACAAGTTCACTCAAATACAATGTTAAATGATTCATTTAATTGAGTCTATCAAATGTTGTCACCTAAATTGATACTCTAGAACCATAGCGTTATTCATTTATAAATTTTGAGAGGCTAAGTTGACAAAATAATGGCATTGCTTAAACTTGTTTATATTGTGGGCCCGTTCGGTAGGGATTAAAATCAGATTAAAATTGAAAAAATAGTCGTTATTGTTGACTTTTATTAGACGAGTGGGACCCAATAACGGCCATATTTTCAATTTTAATTGGAATTTAATCCCTACCGAACGGGGCCTTCCACAATAATTTGTTATTATTATTATTATTTTTTTCAAATTTATTGGTCGATAAGCCGAATTGCTATTTGGTTGAATGAGCTCAATATCAATGAGGTGCTTTGCTTAAATTTCTCAGTTGATCAAGCTTTTGATAATTAGGTTTATTGAATGCAAGTGAACAACTTTGAAAGGTGTGCTTGAATCATGCATTTATCGCTAGTTGAGGGTATTGAATTGTTTGAGGAGCGTATTGAGAGATCGTTCGTATATTTTTAAGAAACTTTTAGTTTAATGTTATGACTAACTCACCTTCACTCAGAAGGCTCCTTGATAGTCTACTCGTCTAGAGAGAGTTGATTGTTCTAATCTTGAACTGTCATATAAAACATACTTGACTTTGAGTATAGCTGTTTTTGCTAATCTACACACTACAAAAGGTATTGGTTCATTGAGACAGTTGGAATGAATTTATTCCAAATTTGAATACGATCATCATGTGGACGAAGAGAAGGTCCCTAGCATTTTCAACGTAAACAAACTATGATCCTTTGTGATTACACATACACACGGCCACGGGATATGCTGACACACCTCTCTGTCTATCTACTTACTTCTCTGCTCAGCTTGCCCCTTGCATTTTTTTATGCAGCTTCGGATAATGCTGCTAAATTTTCTTAGAAATGGACATGTCTTCAAAGAAAGGAATCATAATTCGCTTGTTAGGCTTTACGTATTTCATGTGTCCAACATATGCGCGATGGCCCTGCTAAATCAGATAACAGAATCAAAATTCAATACACTTTTCATCGATACATTTGTGCATCTGGGAATCGTGGGATAGTTACTAATCTAAGCTGATATAGTGGTGATATTTTCGAAAGCTTACGTACCTGCATAGTGCGGCCCATGTTACCTCCACGGGAAGCATAAAGATATCACTGCTCAGGGAGAATATAGTCGATGGCTGCTAAAACGGGTCAATTCATGTATGAATCACGAAGCTCATCCCTGCATGATAACATCTGCTTTGTCACTATATTAGGTAGTGTACTAAAAAAGGGCGCCTAGGCATGAAGCTCGCGCAAAACGTTTCGCCTCACGCTTTTATTATTATTATTTTATTTATTTATTTATTTGAGTCTAGTTGCATCTAGGAGAGCTTTTTTTACGGGTTTTAAGATTTTTTCTTTAATTATTAAATAATTTTTAGAATAATTTAATATTTTAAAATAATATTAAAATAAAAAAACTTTTTCTTACGCCTAGATTTCACATAGGCTGCCCAGCCCAAAGCTTGGCTTCTAAGTTGTCACGTTTTACGCTTTTAGAACACTGAATTATTATGTAACATTTCTACGTGGGGCTGCAACTCCTACCACGTATATGTTAAGATACAATTGTAATAACGTATTGACTTATTTTCGTTAATGATATGTAGTTCTAAATATTTTTGAATTCTCATTTTTGACCCCACAAGACAAATGGTCTGGGTCCGCCCCTGTTCTCTAGCCATGGCTACACGTAAGGTGAAAAGAGTGAATCTATACACTTAAGTTTTAATAGCTTGGATTTTTGGCATTAAATGTTTTTAGTTGAACTTGCTTGGGAATTTCATATTTTATTCTCAATTTGATAAAAAATTATAAACAATTTAATTTATAAATAAATAAAAATGAATAGTGGAGAGTACTTATGAATTCATTAGAATGTGAGATAAAAATGAAGTTTGCCCATTTGTTAATTATGTTATACGGAGGCTTAGTTACGGCTAAAATGTTTCATGTTTACAAAGTACAGTATTTAGGTTTTGAGTTGATGGAAATCATCTAGCCGACCGTTAAAAAATCATGTAATTTACATGTGACTCGGTTTTTTAAGATAGTAACATTGACATCGATGAAAACATAAATAAAAAAGAACAAAGTAATAGCATATATAGAACTTAACATTAAACACGTGTTTGTTACGCCTCTGCCTACATGACATATCATGTACGTGTGAGTTAAGCGAAATGTCATATAAACACCTATTCTTCCAAGTGAGTAGCAACAAGAAGTGTCGTCTCTTCCACCTCCATGTTTGAGACAATGAGGCCATCTACCATCACCTTGGCCACATCCAATTTCGAGGCGTTGAGAGAACATCTTAACTCTTCATTGGCAACAACCTCCAAGGCAATATAACTCCATGCATACTTGTAACTTCTCCTAACTTAGGCGATTAGCAAGGGCCCAACACTTGGTCACATTGGATGGGTCTACGAAATTCGAGGCGATAGGGTTGAAGCCTGACGCCTTGTGCTAGTTGTAATCTAATACTTTGAGTCATTCAATTTGATTAATGTGACATCTCTACAAGGTAGGTTGTGAGTCAAATCTCTTGTTTCTCGCCTAGAACAATATGTGGAAGGTCAGAGACTTGTGATGGCTAGATGTGATGTTTTGATACTAGACTTGTGAGCCATTGGGATGATATTACGTGTCAAGTATTAAGAGACTTTAGATTCGTTCATCGCATATAAATACACACATCGATGAAATTTGGAAGTAATTACGAATTGATTTTTGTCATCGTAGAAATATAAACTATACTCCGACATTCTTCCATGTTCATGTCCCTCCCATACTAAATTATATGTCCTTCTATTAACTTGAGCATCAAAGCACATATGTTCGCAACCTTCCCGCCTTTGTTTGGAGAAGTCTCAGCATGTGCCTCTAATGTGTGTGTCCAATTGTGTAGATAACGTCCACTTCGAGAGAAGAAAAGTGGAGAACTGTTGACGCACTGGATCTCATCCCCTTTCATTTTTTATTTTTATTTTCTATTTTTTTTGGGGGGCTTCTTATAATTTTTTTTTATCCTCTATCTCTATCTATAATTTTCCCTTTACATTTTTATCTTCACATAGTTCTGTATTTTTTATTGAACTTTGTGTTTTCCAATCTTACTTGATTCCGCATTATCGATTTTTCGATTTAATGCGAAACAGTTTACTGGATTCAAACAGAAAATGTGTACTTTGCATAAAGATGAATCGATGTTATACAGAAAGAGATACAATAAATGCAGGGCTATTAGTGAAGAAGTCACGCTCCAGAATATCCCACATCGGCAATTGATTATTGACTGAAACAAGCAGCTGCTATATAGTGTGAGGCTCAGTGAACTATGGAGTCACGCAGCCGCGCAGTGAGCACAAAGCGAACTATTCTTTCGCCTTTTACTAAAGAATACCGTGTGCTCGTTGCAATTAAGCGGCATACGCTAATTTTTGAGAGGGTCTTTCTCGGAAGGGAGAGCCCCAACCAATGCCAGTTCAAATAGTTTTTTGGTCTTTTAGATTTAGAAAGTTAGAGACTTTTAGTTTCGATAACGAGTGTGGGCTTTATTCAGTTGATAGCTTTTTATGCATTAGTGGCGACAACGTTAGGCCTACTACCCATAAACGAAAGTGCTCTTCACAAAATTCCACTCTTTAGGATCAAACCAACACACATCCAATTCACGTGCAATTGTGATTATTGGAAATCCCTATTCCCACTCTCCCTTCGAGCCTTCACCACTAACTACATCAGACATTGTCTATTGAAGTCAATTATTAAAGTTCTATAGAACACGTTACACTGGCACGTCACAATTTTTTTTTATTGAATTTATTTTCTGGGTTTCTTTATCCTACATTTCTTAAAGCGGATTTTTTGTTCATTTTATTTGCACATTAATATTTAAATCAGAATAAAATCTGCGGAATTTTTTTCTCACAAGATTTGAACACTCATTTTAACTCAACTATCTCGTTTGAACGAACGAGTTGTTAGAGAATGATTGCATTTATTCATTTCAATTGTGTCTTCGAATAAAGGGGGCATACAAGAGTTCAACGTGGGGCTCATGACACTAATAATGTTGGTTTCTGTCATTTTGCATGGGGAAAATGGGCATTTTTGAAATTAGCCTTTTGAAATGAAATGCTTACATATAGGCCTCAATCTTGCCCCTGCATAATCCTCACTCACCATTCATCATGGAAAATGAAAATAAAGAATTTCAGCTACTTTTTAACGCTCCATATTCTGCAGCTTCTTCATCACAGGCTTTATCTTGGCCATCGGATTCTTCGACAAACTTCAGATCAATGGATGATCATATTGAGGATCCATCACTTGACCTTCAATTGTCAATGAGTGTTAGTCCACTCAAGCCTGCTGCAGATCATGTTCGAAGAAGAAAAGTTAAAGATTACAATGATGAAAAGTTGGAGTCGAACCGTGTGGATGCCCTGAGATGGCAGGCTACTGAGCACGCTCGATTAGCAGCAATGGAGAGGGCTTATGCAGAGCATGTGAAGGAGCTTACAAGGAGAGAGATGGAAACTGCGCAGTCTGAGTTTGCGCGAGCCAGATATATGTGTGAAAGAGCTCGGGAAGAAGTCGAGAAGGCTGAGAAAATGAAGGCCATGGCCTGTAGGCAGATTGATTCTAGCTGCAGGGAAATCACTTGCCAGTCTTGTAGACAAAAGTTTAGACATTAAAAACTACTAACCCCATTTTGAGTCTATGTTGGAGGGTTAAAACTTAAAACCACTGGTTGTCACTCAACTTTTAGCCGAAATTTCATGTTTTTGTCACTCAACTTCATTTTCTTCCGAGTCGATCGTTGGTTGCTTAACATTTGTTCCAAACTAGTCAATCCATCAATGTCCGTTAGTTTGGCAAATGGAAAAGCGGACACACATTTTAGTAGCAAATAACTATAGACTGCCATAGTTTACTTCCTATGATAAGAGCAAGGGCACAATGGACTTGTATTTGTATTGGCATTGCAAAATGCATGGTCTTGAACTCTAGTAGAAGTTTGTTTATTGAATCTTTTATTTCTTGGGTTCATCAGAATTTCGTTTTTCGATTGAACTATGTTAGTACCATGGAACTAGTATTTCCCCTCGTACATAGTCTTACGACTTTGCCAATTGGATAGTGAAAATACGAAATTCGACCCAAACTACACCTAGAGGGGGGTGAACAGGTGATTATGCGGAATTAATAACTTAATAATTAACTAGCAATAAATCACTATTAATTATCTCTAAATGATTAACAAAATAGTTCAATTTTCTATGTTGAAATACCGCAGTTATATGAAAACAATAACTAACACAAGAAATGATCACGGAGAAACCCCAATTGGGCAAAAATTTCGGACACTTTGCCAGTCAACAATCCACTATAAACGAATTAAAACTTACAGTCCGCTAGACTCGACTACCACTACTACTTTCTAATCTCCTGACAACAATTCCAACAACTCTCCTGAATTTCGTGCTCCTGCACTAATCGCAGCTGCAGTTTTCAAAGCTCTCCTCGATTGCGTTCTCCTGCAGTAACTCCTAACTTTGTGAATTCGTTTATCTCTTATGAATTAACGTAGAACTCTACATTTTTCAACGATTGGAAATCCAGTCACCTTCCCTTGATCTTCAAAACTGTGACAGATATGTAGAAAACAGTAGTTTGATATTTGGATTATGAATCTGATATTTTTATCACTAATAGACAATCACATAACAAAGATTGAAAGTGAATTTGATGAAGATGATATGAAGAGAATATGTTTTTCACAATGTTCAATCTTGAAAATCTCGTTCAGATGCGTTCAATTATTTATATGTAGGTCAAGGTATGAGTATTCCAGATAAAAAGTCTTAAAAAAATGAATTAAAAAATTCCTGGATAACCCTGTCGCTCGACTACCACTACTACTTTCTGACCTCCTAACAACAATTCCAACAGCTCTCCTAAATTTCGTGCTCGTGCACTAACTTTCAGCTGCAGTTTTCAAAGCTCTCCACGATTGCGTTCTCCTGCAGTAACTTCTAGTTTTGTGAATTTGTTTATCTCTTATGGATTAACGTAGAACTCTACATTTTTCAACGACTGGAACTCCAGTCACCTTCTCTTGATCTTCAAAACTCTGACAGATATGTAGAAATTAGCAATTTGATATTTGAATTGTGAATCTGATGTTTTTATCGCCAATAGGCAATCACATAACGAAGATTGAAAGTGAATTTGATGAAGATGATATGAAGAGAGTATGTTTTTCACAATGTTCAATCTTGAAAATCTCGTTCAGATGCGTTCAGTTATTTATATGTAGGTCAAGGTATGAATATGCCAGATAAAAAGTCTTAAAAAAATGAATTAAAAAATTCCTGGATAACCATGTCGCTCGAGCGAAGACCTGGCGATAGACTAGCGACAGTGTTACCGTTTCTGACGCTCGAGTCAAGTATTGACCATAGTCTAGCGATATTGCGGCACCGTTTTTCCTTCTTTTCCATTCTTAAACCCTAGACTTAAAATAACACAATTTTCACTATTTGCACATTACTCCTTAACTTATTACAACATATTAATTTTAGTCAATTTTGTTCACAGACTTGTCAATTACATCAAATATCTAACGGATAGAATTGTGAAAGACTCTCATTTCCTCGGGTAAAAGGCACTCTGAAAGAAAAAAAGATCTCATTATTTTATTGCCACTGAAAGAATTTTGTACCTCTAGCTGCTCTGATTCTATATTATACCATCTTCCTTAAAAGTTGAAGTTGTAACAGAGGTGACCAATTTATTTACATAAATTATGTCCACAACAAAGTATTACAAGAATAGAAATCAGAAGCGACAACTTATCGAACCAACTCCATGTGATCACAGCCAAGTTCAGAACATTGTAGAGGTTCAAAAAAAGCAAATAACTCAAAACAAAAAGTAAACCAGTTCATTATGAAGAAGACGACGTAGCTGTATATCAACTTCCTAACTTTGGTGGAATCAAAAACCAAACGCCCACTATATATGTCTTGGATCCATCACAAGAAAAAGGGAACATTTTTGGATAAGATTATGAGCCCTACTAATCCCAGAAATCATAACACCCCATTCATAGGATTCAAAATTGTCATTTCTTGATTTTCCATCAACCACAAACACATTATTTTAGTTTAATAATCTATTACGGATTGGCATGAGCATAACCAGTGTTTGTGAGGAATCTAATGATACTGTAAACTTATCTCCTTAACCGTGGACCACTTGGGACCTAATTTTACTTGTTTTCGTTTCATTTATTGTACAGAACTGTTTCTTCTGTAAAAATGACAGAATACTCACATGGGAATGGGCCCCATGTGAGCAAAATATTTTTATAAAAAAATGAAGCCCACCCTCATGTGTGTATTCTGTCATTTTTACAGAAATACTGCAACATCTCTCATTTTCTTCTTCTTTATATTCGATACATGGTATTATTATATTGGACAGTACAATAGACAATATTCATTATTAACTGTTGATCATCAAATACGACAGCTTTTATATTCTAGAATTTCCTGTCATTTGTTTTTATTTGGATTCATGTAACCAATTTCATTGAAATCAAAAAGAAGTAGGACCATGCTGTTGAGTGAATATCAATGCAGTTATTATGACAAATCCTTTAACATTCGAATTTTCAAATTGTCCTTATTAGGTATGATATTTAAGCCTCTATTTGGTACAGGCTTTTTAAAACTCATTTTTAATCGTCCATTCCTCCAGTAAAATAATTTTGCACATAGATCCATAATTTTTTCATACTTTTTAACCGCACATTTTACAAAAATATCACTTTTCAAGAAATTTATTATCAAAAATCTGCATCAAACATGCGCTTTGACGACATAATATTTTGACAAGATCCATGCAATTTGTATCCACAGATTTGATGAAGCAATCATATATATTTCCATAGATTAGTGGTTACTAGCTTATTGAGTAGTAGATTTGTTTGATCCATATTATTTTTAAAATATATTTTTCTTTCTCTTCTTTTCAACTATACATTTATCAATAAAATAATATTACAAGCAAATTTAAAACTTTTTTTTTATTTTTTAATCACACATTTTCCATTAATTTACTATTTCAAAATGCATTTTTAACCAAAAATGGAGCTCAAACATGTATAGTTATCGAACTATTTTAGTGTGCAGTACACTATATTTCGATTGATAAGTGGCA